GGGTTCGGGAGGACCTGGGCGTAACATCTGCTGACTACACACTGGCAGCCCATTTCTCTGAAGATGCCTGCTCACCCACTGGTGCCATAAAAGAAACCAGGACTCAGAGTCAAGGAGACACAGTAAAACACCACAGGAACCGGCAACAGTCCCCAGTCCCCTATCGGACACCAAAGCTGCCTTTTATTTATTAAGTGTCCCCATGACTAAGGCCATTCACACCCCTCAGCTAATGTCAAAACTGTTCCCTACAATGTTACATCCCGGAGCAGGGGGCCAAGTCAGCCAATACTACCGATTCAAGACATTAGGTTCAAAGCCAAGCAAGCAAGGATCGCCTTTCAAAATCCGGAGTGAACAGCAACTACATACATATTTTGTGTTAACTGTCCTTGCCTGGTTTTAGCTCCAATGTACACCTAACAAGACCAGGTTAAGATTTTTTTAAAAAAAAGAGTTGAAATAATTTCTTGTAAAATCAAACTATTAACCAAGGTGCCCCCCCCTCTTCCCCCAAGGTGAAAATCACATTTCAGGGTGAAAAATTGGCACCAACATTTTACACCGGGACAAAAAGTCATTGGGGTGGGGGCGGGAGCACGTTATGAGGAAATGTGGAACCTAAGCGTACTTACTTCTCAACAATCGACTTGGTCTGATCACGCACGATGCCAACATAGTGATCAATCTGGGCCTTTAAGGAAGGAAAGTGACTTAGTTGTGGCAACACAGATTAACAATTTTCCTGAACGCAATGTTCTTTTCTCTAAGTGTAACTATTTTTAAAAAACACTATTGAATATTCTGGAAAATGAAAATAATGCCCAGCTTTTACAAGTGTTTTTAAAACTCCAGATTTCAGACTTTAAATTAAACCATAAACATCCCATATTCAGTTGCAGTAAAAAACACTAATTTCTTCTGCAGAGTCTTACTTGCTAGGTGTTTTCTTTAGAGAAACTGGACTATAATAGCATTTTTTGAATACTAGATAATGTATCTAATCTATTTCCTGTAATCATAAATATATTTTGGCTCCTGGGTAAGACTAATTCATTTAATACCAAATAGTCTGCTGATGGATGACTTAATCCAAAAAGAATAACCTCATAAATCTAGTATACTCTTTAGGCACCATTCCACAATGCAAACACCTGCTCAGACTGATTGAGTCCCATATTACCCTTAATATTTTCTTTTTAGATATGAGCTTTTATTTCTTTAAATATTTTTCCAACTTATTTTAACAGATAATGCAGCTATGTGATAAAAACACAAAAGGTGCACAACTAAGCATAAAAAGTAGTCTTCCTGCCCTTATCTCTCCTAGACAGTTTGTCTACTAGAGGAAACCACTGCTACCAGTTTCTTACAGGCACCTGACTTATAAAGTCGGATTACAGGAATGGAAGAGACTGCTCTGAACTGTCCATACCTAAAAAATGAACTAAAACTAGTCACACATCAACTGGCATGATCTGACTGGAAGCAGGCCAAAGCTTACCTTGTACTTCTCATAGACAATTGGAACACTGAAAATGAGCAGTTCAGCTGTAAGACAGAATCACGGGACATGGCAAGTGTGAGTGTGAAACAGTCACAAAGTCTCAGGACTCAAGTAACACACAGGTTTTCCTCATGAAATACAGGGGAACACAGATCTCCAATATGAGAAATGTCTAGATCCCTCAATTAAGGACAGTTAGATACAGGTACATTGATTCTTATAAATTTAAGATCCCCATATGTAAATCAAATCTAGATGACTCTCCTTTGCTTCTAGCTGTTCTGATATTTAAAATTTGGACCAAATTAATAAACCTACAGCCATACAATATCTAGGTTCAAGGTCTCGATGGATGTTAAAGGCGGGGCCATTCGGAGGCAATGGAGCCAGGCTGGGCATTCTCTTCGCTCTTAACTCTTACCAATGACTTCAAAGAGCATGCAGACATTCTCCTGCCATCTTACCAAGAATCAGAAGGGTGATTCCATTGAAAACGGCACCCACGTAGGTCATCAGCCACATGAAGACAGCCAGCTGTGAAGGCCAATATCGGGGGTTAAGCAGGAATAATTGTGACACAAACTTCAGGTCAGCCAATGCCACTTTCCTCTCGCTAGTTAAGTCTGCATAAATTTAGTGACGTATGCCATCAATCATTTCAAAATAAAGGTTACCCCATGTGCACTGTACGTCTGAGGGTGGATAAGAGACTTCTGTAGTTCTCTTAGGCCCAAAGACTGTAATGGCCTTTCTGTCGATTACATTATCCTGTTCGTTCTCCAGGTTTATGAGATACCTTCTCCACCGACTCCTGTCTTCATTTTTACAGGTTGATGGAAACGAGCATACACCTGTTTTTATCTGTGGAAACCCTACTTACTGTTTTTCCCCTGAAGCATAACCTAGTCTCTGGTTTTCCTTTCCTCACCACCTAAAGCTTAAAGGGTAGCAGAACGAACCTTCAAGGAGTCAACTAGATCTTCCACCAGAAAGAGACGGATAATGAGCTTCAGGGCCCGGTTGACGTGCACCATGGCAGCATTCACATAGTTATGGAAAGCTTCTGAGGACAGAGTGATGTCTACATCCAGGTAGGATCTTCCAGAAGAAGAAACAACAGTCAGGTATTTGACACGGAAGGAGAAGACCTCTTTCTGTGAGCACAGCCATTCTTTAGAGTGTGACATTCCCCCACGGACGCACCTTAGAAATCTCTAGGGCATGTTTTGCTGTCACGGATGGGGTGGGGGCACCACTGTCATTTAATGGCAGAGGCAAAGATGTCAGATGTCTGCGAAGTGTAAAATGGTCCACAAGGTGTTTTTCCTCACAGTTTTAACATATCTTGAATTTTCTAAAATTGTATTTTGTTTACTGAACTTTACTAAGTTTTTCCCCCCACCATTTTGGAAAATCACATCTGTATTGTAGATTATACATGTAGGTGCCAAGTACCTGATGTTTTACTATTATTATTGTTTTTTGGTGTACTCATTTCCAAGCAATTATATATTGATTGGAACGCATTATTTTACTATACATGGCTATTTTGTCATTTCTTTATATTACAATTAAGATCTATTATAAAAATTTTGTTTGTAAA